CTTTCCCCAGCCTCTCTTCTTCTTTTTGAATCCGCTCCCCTTTTCCGGGTCATGGGTTTCTTTATCTGAGCCTTTCTTTCTCTCGCCATTGGGCTGAGACTTCCCTGATTCCTCGTCTTTCTTTCTTTTCTCGGCTTCCTCAACCTCGGCTTGTGCCTTGGCGCGTAAGAGAGCCTCCTCGTGGGAGGTCGGGGGCCTGCGTATAAAGTCTTTGTATAGCTCGCCCGACCTCAGAGCATTGGTGAGGATAGCCACAACAGACTTGTCATCCAGGTCTTCTACCTTGATTGTCTCCTCCCTCCAACGACCCAGGAAAACATTTAGGGTTTCTTGGGAGCCCTGTTTGATTCCCAGAAGGTGAGAGACATTCTTCTTGGAATCCTTGGAGGTGGCAAAGCACGTCACGAATGCGTGAGCCAACTCCCGGAAGTTCCCTATCCCTCCGTCCGGCAGAGAGTCGTACCATTCCCGTGCTAACCCGTTTAAGGTAACCGAGAATCCTCTACACTTTATAGCATCGTCATATCCCATCATGACCATATAAGCCACATACTTGGAAACGTGGTGTTGAGGGTCAATCTTTCCCTTGTAAGCCTCAATGTTGCATGGTCGGTACCCCTGAGGCAATGACGCCTCCATGATTTGCATAGTAAAAGGCTCGGGAATTCGCACGCCATGCTCGAGACATGGTCTTCCTTCCATCTCCCTTCTGAGCTCGTCTAACCTTCTCCTGAGGTCGGTATTATTATGACCAATTCGAGGGCGCATTGGAGACCGGCGATCTCTTCGGGCTTGCCTATTCGCGTTGATCTCGTTCCTGAGATCTCCCCTTTACGCACTTTGGTGACGGGACGAAACGGCGGCTAAAGAGGCCCCCTCACTGTGCTTAACCCTAGAGGAGAGTCTATCATGAATGGATCCTTTGCTCACCTATCCGGTTTACCACCGGAATCCTGGAAGTTGCACTGGATCGGTGGGAGCGCTGAGACTGGGCGGGTGGAGAATTCCTCATGCGTAGGAGAGAGTTCTCTTCTCCTTGTGGAGCCACAGATGGAGCCCGACGAGGGGAAGGAGGTCTCCCGTTAGTATTCGGAATGATACCTTGGAATGCAGTTGTCAAAGTCTCCACCGCCCTCTGGAACGTGGCCAAACTTGCCAAAGCCTGTGTGGGATCCATGGTGGGGATGTTATGCCCAGTGCCCGGTGTCTGGAGCTACGATGGACGCACCACCGGGTCCCTAGGATTCCCCCCACCACGGATCTGGTTCCTCAAATCGCCTGGCGCGGCAGCGTTGTCGTTGCGCCTCCTAAAATCGCTCCTTCGGGACCTTGACCCTTCATCTTCAATCGTAATATGATTGAAGCGATTTCCGCCTTGATTGCTACCAACACGATTATTGCTATTCGACACAACCATCGTTGCTTCGTATATTCGGCTCTCAACGAGAGCACCAAATGATGGAGTTAAATCCAACTACGAGAGCTAATATACGTAAAATATGAGAATAATATGGCAGCGTAAGGCAGTTTACTCTTTATTTCGGAGAACTAGCAATAGTCTAGCCTCGGTTTTGAATCTTATCGGGGGTCCGATCCCTTGGTAGGGAGTTTACATCAAGTATTTATAGAGATTAGGAAGTAGAATTATGGGAGGAATCTAATGCAATAAATGCTCAATTAATGAACTATATTCTTGCTCGAAATAGAACTCATCGATGCTTGACTCCCACACGATTGCTTTCCCGTTTTAGTCGTCGCCCTCCGGATGAGTTCTGCCTATTGCCAAATATATATTAACGAGTGATAGCTTGCCACGTAAGCCCTAGGAATACCCTGGCCTCACTAGATCTCTGCCCAGGCTCAAGGTCTGCTGTCCATCCCGGCCTGGTGGTGGGTTCCTATCGTGGGCCTAATTCCTAATGGGCTAAGCGGCTATTAACCATGAATCCCGACCCGTTTGTGGGCTAATCCTTTACTTAGGCTGGTCCCGTTGAGGGCCGATCCCGTTTATGGGCTAATCCTGTAATTAGGTTGGTCCCGTTGAGGGCCGATCCCGTTTATGGGCTAATCATGTAATTAGGCTGGTCCCGTTGAGGGCCGATCCCGTTTATGGGCTAATCCTATAATTAGGCTAGTCCCGTTGAGGGCCGATCCCGTTTATGGGCTGGACTACGTAATTAGGTCATGGTCTTAATCCATGGTACCATCAGAGCGAGTCAAGTGTGTACACAACTACACACCTTATGTACAAATAGATTATTTTTTTTGGAAAATACCTCTATATTACTCCTTGAGAGTTGAGATCGGAAGCTGAGACTACTTTTTAGTGAATTAGTTAGATTTAAGGGTAAATTACATTTGTATTGATTTTTCAAATGTTCATTCTATTAAAAATATAATGCAAATTAAATATAATGCAAATTATATATGGGGACAAAAGTACTTTTCTGTCTATTTTTTCTATTTTAGTAAGATATTCCTATAAAAGTACCGTCATATGCTCACTTTTATGATCCTAACTCGTTTTACTTTTGCAAATTACTTTCTGAGTTCTACTTTTTTATATATATTAATTTCCTTCTCTACATCACATTTAATTACATTTTAATGCATGCATTCAGTTTCTTACATTTATTTGCAATACTTTCCTCTTCCACAGTTCCACACACTCAAGTACTTTCCTAAACACATTACTACTTTTCCCACCTTTTCATTTAAACCAATTAAACACATACTCATGCTACACTAATAGGACACCTAACAAAGAAGGAAGAAGCATATATATTATATATACGCATAAGCTCATATTGTTAGGTGAAATTAGACTTTGCACCCTAATTTTCAGAGTAATTATTGTGTTCGTCCCATTGATTCCTAAACTATGGGATGCAAGTGAATTTTTCCATGTAAAATTGTAAATTAAGTTAGTAATATAAAATATAATGATATGAAGTAATGAGAATCTTGAACAAATGAAAGATGAAATAAGATTAGTGACAAGTTCAATTTGTCTCATCACTCTCATGTTTAAGATCATCTTCACGCGAGAGGTTTTGAGTTTAAGTCATCAAAACGATGAATTCGAGATGATTTTGTCATAAAATTTCCTTTAGTCAACCAAGACTAGCTCAAGTGGCCGTATAATTAGTTATTTGTCTCGCACTCTCACCCAAAGCGTCATTTCAGGGGACCTCGACGTCATTTGAAGACGCGACAATCAATCCGTAAAATGCGACTTTTTGTGTGCAAATTGCGATGGTCAGATAATGTATGTATAAATGATGGTGGGAACCTAACTAATGGTTTGACTGTTCTCAACTACTCATATTTTTATTTTTTAAAATCAAAATAATACAAGGTGCTATGTTTCTAAGACACGTTTTCATGATTGGTCGTTCGTAAAGTCATAATATGAATCATTAGGGAGCAAAGATAAGTCATATGGGTAGTGGTGGTCCACTTTTAAAATCATTGCGCAATATTATTAGTTGCCTTTGAAATTGTCTCTATCTTTTGGTATGTTGTCTGAGGTTGTCCGAGTATATAGTCTCGACTCAACTAATATATCACGGGAGAATTTAAATGTCGCATTGTGTCTGCCGTCATTTTTATTACCGTAACGTATATATTTGTGATCATTTCCACTACTTTTGAGTTTTGACGGAGACTTAATGAGACTTTTGAAAAGTGGTAAGGTTAGTTTAATAGTAGTAGATCTTGTACTGAATCAGAGATTCATTCTAGCACATAAAAGTTGTAACCTCCACACGATCGCTGTAGTTTTCGATCGTTGGTTAATATTTCAACCTTCTCACCACTTAACTAACTGAACTATCTGTGCAAATTTCTCTTTGTTTTTTCTATTTCTCATTATCAAGAGAATTAAGATGAATTGTATATGAGTAGTTCTTAACATAAAATCTTGTCATTTTTCAAATGAATTGTCTCTGTACGCACGTAATTAAACGGTTGTGTACAAGTTGCATAGAAGAATTTTTCATTGTTTATTTTATGGGATTATATGTAACTTGGTACGGAGCATTAAATTTTTTGTTTTAAACATTAGCTACTCCGTATTACGGAGTACAAAACATCTTTTATACCAATCATACGAGCATTACTTTGACCAACTGTTGTACTTTGAACATTTAATTTGAGACAGTCAATTTTTCTTTCGATCTTAATATGTGTACGGAGTATTAATCACGGAGTACACGAGTATCGTTTACTTTAGTCACGGGTTTTGAAGATTTTTTAAGTACCATAATAACTAAATTTATCATAAACACATCCCTAAACAGGAGTAAAACATAGAGTGTATTAATACTTTCTTAGAATAATACTCATTCACGCCTATTTTTAAAAGTTTGTACTGTTAATCTTTTAATAAGATTTAATAAGCCATGTTTTGAAAAAAAAAAATTGCCCAAAATGGGACTAAAACATGGAGTAAATTCCTAAATTAAATTTTAAGTTTTTACCTTTTACCCAAATAGGATAGAACATTACATTTTTACCTTTTACCTAATTAAACCTCCATAGCTCATCCAATGGCATGCACCTTATTCTCAAGATACTTTGCATCATATCAATCTATTTTCACATTAAATTTGTAATTATAACTACTTCCAGCTTTTATAGTGTTAATTATTCTTCATTATTCACTTTTTTAAATCGAAAACTACTCTCACATTCAAATAAATCCAATCAAATTCTTTACTGTATTGCTTTAGACCCGGTCAGGCAGGGATTTATTTGAAGACAGAAAATAAAAGTGTGAATGGTGAGTGATATACGTAGTAATAATCGCCGTAGTAATAATAAAAACAAAAATAATACGGAGTACTACGGAGTAATATTCCTTAGGTCCGTAATAATGAGTACTAGGATCGTACAATGATGAGTTGAGGGGACTTTCCAGGAAACTCACTATCCCCACTATGTATGATTCATCAATGGCGTCCCCAATATGAGTCATCAATCGGTGTCATCTTCCACCCACACAAACACTTCAATGCTTCGTCTTAAAGCAAAATTAGACATGAGAGTCCATTTTCATGTTCAGTGTGTTCCGACGAGTCACTCTATGTTCCGGTGTGTTTCCAAGTCCTGGCTCCAGAAGTCTTCAAATTTGAATAGTTTTAGAAAACGGTTCCGCGGCGGTGCTCCCATAACTACAATAGATCCCGCAAATGAGGTAGCTAGACAAATATCTTTTCCCTTCTCGGTGGATGATAAAACTGGGATGCTTCATTTGAAGGTGGCTGGTCAAACCTTTTCTCCCTTTCCAGTGGATGTAATATTGGATACTTCCTTTGGAGGTGGCTGATAAAACCGGGACGCTTGAATAATTTGTAGCTTTTATTTAAGGAATTCTTTTTTAGTTACCCTCATTTGAGGAGCAAGTACATTCAACACTAGTGTTAGATTAGTCTACATAGTTGAGGGATCAACGAATATGATTAGTGGGACTGATCGATCCCAGTGTACCTTTGAGCTGTAGTAGAGTTTTTTTAACGGAGTAGTGCTTTACTTCTTATTAATAAATAATTCTTTCAAAAAAGGCCTTCGTCCCAAAAAACATTGCCATTTCAAAAAATTTGAACCTTAATTTTTATTAGTATAATATTATGGAAGTTAGAAATTTTATACTTTTATGAAAATACTTTTAACAAAGAACATTTTCATATACTTTTTATGTTATAAATAATTTTCAATAAAAAAATATAGTCAGCCAAACTTTTGAAAATGACAAAGTTTTTTGGGACGTAGGTAGTATTAGAATAAAACCTTATCACTTTTTATGATTACATTAATAATGCATAACCTTTGAAGTGTCCATGTGGTGTGTCCGTCCAATGCATTAGTTCTAAAGTCTAGCAAATATATATGGAGTGTGTGGTTAAGTATGTTTTCTGTTGGATCGTAATTTACTGATTTGATGTGGTCTGGTTTTTTTAACGGAGTGTTTGCAAAAAATTAAAAAAAGCTCTTTCAGCCTTTGACTTTAAAAAGTTGAAATGAGTGTGTTCAAGTGACATCTTCTGCTTAAAGTAATCACTTAAAAGCTAAAAGCTGGAAGCAGATTCAGGGGAACTGCTTTTCACTTTTTCTATTACACAAAAACATTTATTTTATCAAACAATGCCAACTTTTACTTTTTCAGAATCACTTTTTTTTCTCAAACACTTCCAACTTTTACTATTAAACACATTTTCCAAAATTACTTTAAAAATCACTTTTTTAAAGTAGAAGCAATCACAAACACTAGTCAAGTCTGGTCTAGTCTGAACCGATCTAATCTAATCTTATCTCTGTGTATTTTATAATTATCCAAGTTTAATTTGATTTGTTTAAGTCTCATCTGAAACTAAAAACAGTCCAAAAGAAAACATCCTAACTTCATAAGTTCATATCATCGTACATGGTACATATGGTACCATATGTGATGTAACACAATATGCCTATCCACCAAATCCTACATCCTCAAATGGGCTTCAGACAACTTTTAGGTCGGTCCATCAAGAATATGAAATTCTTTACAAATCCCACCTTTGGATTGGGCCGTTGAGGCTAAACCCACAAGATTTATGAGACTTCGCTCATTTTACACATCATTTTCTCAACACTACGCAACCCTCCATAAATTTTCATCAAAATCAATTACTCCGTATTTCTATTTTGCAATGGCACCCTTTTCTGCAATGACTGTTCTCAATTTTATAAGTCGACTTACCAGTTACCACGCACACATGAATACATGATTGTTCTTATTTTATGTGTGGATAAATATATACGAAGTACATGATATTAAATAGAAAAGTATATTACTTTTCATTTAAAATTATTCACCAATATTGATATTCCGCTCGTGTAATATTCTGTTCGTGTGACACACAAACTTGAAAGTTGTTTAATTTATGTGAGAGGAGAAAACACTTCTAGTTGTACTACTTTTAATTGTAAAATAGAAGTCCAACTGTTCGAGTGTCTTCCATGTGCATACATGGTCACTATTATCTACCACGAATACTAATAAGAAATTGGAAAAATTAAAAATAATAATCCCAACTATTGGATATATACGTATATTGAAATATTAAAAAAATGCAACTTTAATGAAAAATATACTTCGTGAAAAATAATATATCCAGTATCCCAACCTAATTAAATTGATCGATCAATCATGGGGGTGGGCAATTATAGACTCTAATCAGTACGCAATCACACAAGGAATATTAATATGGCGGTTTAGGGATAATATTGTTTAAATATTGATGGATAGAATGTGATAGCCACATTCATTAACTTCAGCTATCATATATCTGGCCGGTCCTATACATTTTTGTATAAGTGTGTATCCCCTTGACTAGAATCCACGTAACAATTGATGAATGAATGCGTTTAAATTTTGTTTTCTTGTAGGGATACTATTCATCGTACTACATTAATCATAAAACCCATACTTTAATTGATGGGATTCCACAGACCATGCATGATTTGATCTTGAAAGTTAAGCGCAATCATATTATCATAATTAAGTTGTGGAGATAAATAAGATATTAGCTTAAATTAGACGAAGTCTAAACCCCTTAATATAGTATACCAAAAATATCTAAAAAAGAATGAATTGGACACTAATGGTTTGGGCAAATTTATATATTTGATACTATAATCATATTTTATTTATCAGTTTGGATATATATGAGGAGGAGAAAGACTTTAAAGGTTAGTCCTAGGAGAAACAAGGAAGGAAATTTTTACTTTTGTTTGGGAGTTTGTAAATATGAAGATGAGATTATGAGGGAATTATAATTAAAATTACTTCAAAGATATGACAATTTTAAAATGTTGAATATATCATCATTTAAGATCTCTCAATTTGGAGGAATTTAAAAGTTGAGTTGATAATAATATTTGAAGACCGATTAAAAGTTACATATGTGATTAAAAGTTGGCTGATAATGATAAGTCTAAAAACACATCAAACGGGCTTTAAATGTCATCAGTCCAAAAAAAACGTGGACACCATACAAAAAAGTTGTGGAAATAACCAGTATAAGCCCACAAACACATGAGATGGGCTCTAAATGTCTGGACAAAAACGTCGACCCAATACAAGTTCTCTCTTCGGTTATTCTTGAGAAACAGGCCCATTTGTAAAAATGGGATGCCTGGATAAAAAATGGAGCCATTAAAGAGTAGCTTGTAGAGCCGACCACGAAGTGAGACAGAGGAGCAGCAGTAACCATTAAAGATCTTTAAGTAAGTTTTTTTGGTTCACTTCATTTAAGCGAAAATAATTAACTCTGCTACTATACCAGCAGACTACATTGGGCAATTAATTTTTTTTGACAAACATTGGGCAATTAAATAGAGAGAAATGGATTAATAAGATATTTGGAACTTAGGTTAAATTACCTGATTGATTAGAATTAGTTATTGTAATGTGGTTTGGTCGGGTTTAATTACATGACTCGAATTGAATCTTCAAATGTTGGGAATCAATTGGAGGTTCTGCTGTTGTAATTACTGTTAAGAATTCTTAATTTCGCCTGTTTTAGATGCACACTGATCAGAAGAAATGTCAAGAGTTAGCTGGGTCGTCCTCTTTTTACCGGAAGATATATTCAGAAGTAAGTGGAATAAGTGATAATGAGTTAGATAGTTATGCTTTTATACAAGAAATGAGCCGAGTAAAATGTGTACAGGTAGAAGAAATAGGGTGGGGAAATCTTGTTAGATTGGGAGAAGATTTGACATCTCTTAGTTTCCGTATAATGTAAGTATTTTACCGCGCTTACAGTCTTACTTGCTTCTACCAGTAATAAATCAGTAGATTGTAACTTGGAAAAATGGAAAGAACCCTGAAGTTACTTTGTTGTTATTGTAGAGACAAGAAGGGAAGAACACATATGATGGGGATAGAACTCGATAAAGCCTACCCTAAATCTCCCCCCTCAGTATTAGTGGTTGGTTTGTTGTAATCTTGTGATTTCTTGTAATTTAATCAAAACAATAATCATAATCTAATTTCTCAGGATGTGCCTTGCGTCTTCAATTTGCAATGGTCCGTAAACTCCAAGCTAAATGATGTTCTGGATCAGTTTAGACAGGTATATTTTGCTGTGTTTGTAGGGCATGCTTGGATCCTTAAATACAATGGAAAGGTAAACTTCTTGTTTTCTTTTGTTTGGTTTATCTTGGGAAATGCAAGTGATCATTGAGCCTGTATCCGTTTGGTAACTCATTGTTTTGGTTTATCGGATTTATCAACCATACTTTTTGCGAACCCTTTTTTTCCGCGGAGTCGAGATAATCAAAATAAGTGCGGTTGGAGATACTTGTGTGACTCAATTTGCAAAAGTGGATAGTTTTAGTTTCTTTTCATATAACTTTTTCATAATTTTATTCATAAAGTATGTCTTCAGTATAATAATTTTCTAATTTCGTCAATTCAGCTACCAATTTCAATACATTCAACCAATTAGTTTACTAAATAGCCTCTTTCAATCTCTATCCCTCCCTCAGTTTTCTTTCCTTGTATAATTTTCTTCCTATTTTCTATTCCTAGTATTTCAGGATCCAAACGGACCCTTCAATTTATCTTCCTTTGTTTAGATTGTTATATGCTTTACACAATCTTATCTTGAAATATTTAGTCATCATTTTCTATTAATAAATGCTTTCAGCATCTGGATAAGTTTCAACCCTTTTGGTCTACAGTGGATGAAATTGACAACTCTCTTCAGGTTTCTGGGCCTAAACAAACATCTTTTGCCACATCATATCGCCAAATAGATATAGGTATTATTATTGAAGACAGGAAAGTTTATTATAAAGAATTCACCCATAGGTTTTCTACATCTTACTGAACTCTTTGCTTCTTTTACAGGCAATGGTTGTTATCTCATCTTGTTTATTGATCCTAATGACCCAAATGCCCTGCCAGAGTAGGATTTTTATTAAAAATATTCTTTAAAGCTTTTGTTTAGTGCAATTTATAAGTGGAATTTTAATTACTGGTAGGTGCCGCTTTATTGGTCCAAATTCTGAGGTTAATGTACTAGTAGCATCGTGGAGGACAAATTGCCAAAGATGGTTATGTTGCACCTATTTATTTATTGTTTGTTATGCATATTTTGTACTCCCTCTGTGTAAGAGAAAAGAGTTTTGCTTTGTCAAGGTACAATTTTAAATATGGGAATGGTGCAATTCTTTAGAAACATAGATCCCACTTGAACTTTATCAAGATCTTTTTTTAGTTTGATTAAATTGATCATATTCATCTTGTCAATGACTTTTTATTTGGAAAGTTATATCGAAAACTAGCGTTTTTTGCAAATTGTTTTTATGGGATGGAGGGAGTATAAATTTGATTGATAATACTTGAAGTATTTCAATAAGATCCTTCAATTGTAATTTGAACTTTGAATAGGACTACGGACAAACCGTTTGTTGAGAATCTCAAGAGTTTATTGAAGATCCAATTACCCGGACATTCCCATGAGCAGATGAGTGATGAGCGGCCCGAATGCGGGATTTGTTATTCACAGTATCTCCCAGTTGGTAATGCTTACATTCTTTGTGGTTATTAACTCTGCATCATATCAATCTATTATCGAGTGATTGATCAATGTAGATGATGAGCTTGGAAGTGATAGTGGAAGTGGCACAGATTATAACTGTCAAAATAACAGCTGCCAGAAGGCCTTCCACAGTATTTGCCTTTTAGATTGGCTTCGTTCCATCACAACAACGAAACAGTATGTCATCCTGCTTCTATGTTTCTTTATTCTACAATGGTGAGCATAATTGCATCCTGGGGTGGGGGTCAGTTATGAATTGAGAATTATGGAATATGATACCTTTGGTGAAGATCTGATAGACTACCCTCAAAGGAATAGTCATTTTTTTGTGTGCTACAATTACATAGATCATAGATAGATTGGTTAGGAAAAATGTTTGTGTCGATTTTGCATGTTATTTAGAGCTCGTTTGGTAGCCTGGTTCAGCCTGTTTGATTGTCAACAGAATAGTCAGAATAGATAGGTTATGACTTGCTCCTTATTTGACTAGAATGGATGTTACCATACGCTTTTAGCTCTAGAAGTTTTAGCAAGTTTCGCCATTTAAGAGACGTAATCCTTACCAAATGGCTCACAAAGTCACCATCTCATTGTCCACTATCTTATCTGTTCATCAAGGTATCAAATAGACTATTTTCTTTCCTTTGGACTTGTAGTATCATTACTTCATGATTTGGTTCAGCCTTTTTTCTTTCTTCTACTCCGTATTAGAATTGTCAAACAATAAAACACGCCGTCCAAATCCGTCTTTTCTAACACAGTACATGATAATTAATTGCATTTCATGTTTCATTTTGCAGGTCATATGATGTTTTGTATGGTAGTTGCCCCTACTGCTCAGATCCTGTTCGAGTCAAAATCAACTCCGCCAGCAAGTAAAACAGTGCCATGTCGTTTAGTATTGCTCATTTCATTGATAATCCGTTTCCCAACATTAGAAATTTGAGAAATGCTAGAGGTACCCCCATTTTCTACCCCATCCTATATTTGTGGCTCACAAAAATCCAACCCAATTAAAATAATTGCTTCATTTTTACTCATTGCTTTTGTGAACCACAAACATAGGAGGGGTACAAAATGGGGTACAAAATGGGGGTAGCTTTAGCATTAGTGTAGAAATTTCATTAGGTTGACCGCATATTATTGTAACCACCGGTAAAAGTTAAAGTTAAATCGTCTCTTAGAGAATTAATTCAATTTAAAAGTTCTTTTGTAGGCAATGTAAGTTGTTTTGAAAATCTAAATTCCTATATAAAAGTTTGGAACTTTCTTAATAAAGTACTCCCTTCTTCCCTTAGAACTTGGTCAAGTTTGATTGGCACAAGGAATAATAAAATAAAAATTGTGTGATACATATTTGTGCAGAGGAGAGGAAATGAATAGGACTCACATAGTTAGTGCGACAACAAAAAAAAGTTGGTAAAATTTTGAGAGATGGAAGTAATACAATAGGATTATTACATGAGATTATTAAATACGGAGTATTATTGTTTTTTCCTCAGCCAGCTTTTTTTTCTAAAATAATTAGGTTTTACAGACATATATTTCAATTTTTGGAGGGGTTTGCTATCAACCCAAAAATTAACAACACCACTTAGACCAAACCATTTTATTTTCAGTGCATTTGAACTATTTTGGAGACCTCTCTAGCTCACCGCCATTGCACCCGTTGCATTCTCAAATCCTCAATTGCGGTTTTCTATGTGGTTGTTTATCTTTTCGTCTATGTCATGCTCCACCGAAGCTCATAAATCTATAGTGTTTAAACTTAGCATCTACAGCAATGAGGTTTGTACCGATAATAGTTGCGGTGCTAGGCATTACAATTAATGACGATATTTTTTAATAATGACAGTAATGACTCCTATTCCCGCAAGAAAAACATACCAATCATATTTTGAAATTTTGAAACCTGTTTACTTCTATTTAAAGCAATTTCCACTAAATTAACTTATACTCCAATTAATACCATTTTATTTTCTTGTTTCCAAAGTAGAGTTACTAAAATATACTAACCCTCAAAACTTAACACACAGTTTTGTTCGTTTTTATCAACTCATCCTGATCAGGTATAAACTCTCGAGATATTTACTAATTTGCCAACTGAAAAAATTGTTGTGTAGTTTTGACCTTTTAAGATGTTCCGTGTTTCTTAAATGGTCATGTAATTTATACTTTATGGAGTCTTAGGAAGTTTTCTTTTGGACTGAAATTTGCTGGTCTGATCTGATCTAGTCTGAACTGGTATGGTCTCTGTGTATTTTATAATTAAGGAAGTCTGGTCTGATCTGGGACGAAAAACAGTCCAAAAGAAAACATCCTTAGCTTGTTTATAGATAGGCATGGACCCGGTTCGGGCCGCCCGGCCCGGGACCGGCCCGGCCCGCCACTGTGCGAGCCCGGAACCGGCCCGGTTCTCGGGTCCGGGTCCGGGTCGGGCCTAGGCCCGGTGGGGTGGGCGGGTCCGGGCTCGGGCCTTGTTTTTGGCGAACCGGCCGGGTCGGGCCCGGGCCCGGGCCGAATTGATTTTTTTTATTTTTTTTTCTTTTTTTGGGGTTAGCCAAGTTGGGCTTGATGGTTAGGAGGGGTTTGGGGGTTTGAGGGGTGGGGGGGTGAGTGGGGGGTTAGGAAAGCAAAAAAAAAAAAAAAAAAAATTATGACCGAACCGGAGGCCTGGCCCGGCCCGGCCCGGACCCGGTGGCTACCCGGGCCAGTCCCGGGTCTTCCTTCCCAAAAAAAAAGCCCGGCCGGGCCCGTCCTGGAACCGGAACCGGCCCGGCCCGGGTCCATGACTATTTATAGATGTTTATTTTTATATTCTGAGATATCTTTTCTAGATTTATGTTGTGTATTTTGTAGATTGAGGGATCAAATATACCTGTAGAATTATAGAAATAAAATTAACTCTGCTTCTAAAATCTTATTAATAATGCATAATAGTAATACCTCAACCCTTAATCGTTTTAAAAAGGTATTTGTAATGGTGTTAATTGAACACCATAGGGTTACAGTCGTAGTAGTTGAAGTTTCACTTGGTGTCAATTTTATTTTCCTTTTGCTTGAAATAATGATCCTGAATCTTTTGATATGAATAGAGGCCCGTTTGATGATAAAAAAATGGTGTTAATTGAACAAATCAAATATGGTGTATGAACTTGTCAATTCTTTCACGGTGTTCCGTTTGATGGATTCATGAGAATAATATAGCCATTTCCTAATGCTCCGTTTGGATAGAGTGAAGTTAAGTAAACCTAGTGCAATAAAGTAAACTTAAGTTTTAATAAAAACTAAGTTAACCTAAGTGAACTTAAGTCCATACGTAAAATTGTGTTTGGAAGTATAGAACATGCTCGCCAAGTTAACCTAAGTGAACCTAGGTTAAATTTAATAAATATTGTTTGGATGAAGGTACTCTAGCTCATTTTATGTTAAACGAGAACTTAACCTCCAAACCCCTCTTATTCGGAGGTTCTTCAATTTATGGTTCTTCCAGGTTCTCGGGAGTTTAGTGAGATTAACACATAACCTAGGTTCTTGTTACAAAAATACAAACAAACGGGGTTAACTAGAAATTGAACCTTCAATAACCTAGATTAACCACCAAACAAACAGGCCATAAAAAGTTCATCCCAATGGCAATGTGTATTTAAATTTTCGTACCCTTCACCACGGTGAAACAATGTTTAACTTGCTAGACAGGAATTTCTTCAGCCTCGCTTTGTGAGAAAGTGAATCTTAGACCTCAGACCCTATTTGAAAATGCTCACAATCACACTTATCTTTTTATACTTTTCCCTATTACTCCGTATAAATTTAAGAAAGTTTATTGTGTTCCATAAGTTACATAAATATACATTAATCTTACATATTTTCATACACAATTTGCACTTTTATAAAAAAATCACACCCAACATACAGATGAAGGATATCATCACATACCCCGAGGGTATAGACACAAATAATCTAGAATTATATTGGGGCAGACGTCATCTACATAGTGGCCGGCTGAGACACAACGTCGAAGCCAGTATCATAGTGGCGAGCATGTTCTATTATGCGTCGAGTTTTATTAGCGAGGCTGAACATGATTATCACCATGACGGGATTGCGTACTGATGTTACTCGATGAGGCCAAACGCATCTGATCTGCCTCAGCTCGATTATAGTTACTACATTTAACTGTTTCCCGGTCTAGGGGTGGACTCGGGTCGGGCCGCCCGGCCCGAAACCAGCCCAGCATTGTTTGGGCCCGGCCCGGACCGGTTGGCCGGTCTTCGGGCCGCTTCGAGCCTACCGAACCGCTCAATTCCCGGGGCGGGCTCGGGCCTCCTAAAAGTGGAACCGGCCCGGCCGGTCCTGCCCGGTTCGGGACATTTTTTTTGTTTTTCATTTTTTTTTGTTTCTACCGGGTTGGGCTGGGTGTTTTGGGGGGTGGGGGTGAGGGGGGGGGGTCGGGGGTTAATTACAAAAGCAAAAGAAAATAAAAAAAATAACATTGAACTGGAACCGGCCCGGCCTGGCCCGGAACCGCTGCCTACCCGGGCCAGTTCTGGTTCTCCCTTTCCAGGGAAAAAGCCCGGCCGGGCCCAGGCCTGAACCGGAACCGGCCCGACCCGGATTCATCCTTATTCCCGGACATTATAGACATGCATATCAAGAGCTTACGTCAAAAGTGCGACGCCAATGGAATGACTTTAAAGATAATGATTTTGCACCATTGATAACCCGAAGGCTAAATAATTACCATTTTCTCTTTTCTTTTTTCATATATATATGTAAGGTCCCAAAATTTAAAATAAGAGAGAAAACTTTAATGAAGAATATAGATTGAAAACCTGAAGTCTTTCTTTCTTCTATTTTTCAATTTCACTAGGAACCACCTTAAAAAGCTCCATAAGAAAAAAATTGATCCTTCTAACATAGGTAGTGACGTAGTGTACCATGAAAATCCAGATGCCAACTTTGTGAAATCCAATGGTTTCTCCTACAACATTGTGAGTGAGCCCCCGTATGCAAATATGTATGACGATAGCATGAATCTTACCATAGACAATTTTTGTGGGGAAATCAACTTAATCAAGTGTGGGGTGATTGTGATTTCAGGTCACCCTGTTGTGATTGCGCCATACGGAAAAAAGTTATTCTTGTCAAGACGGCTTTAGCATTTTGGAGGTCCTAAACAAAAAAAAACTTACGGTACAAAAGACGGGCTTAGGCGTGAAAACACGTTTTGATTTGTTTTTTTATCATTTATTTTTATTTTCCTTGATCTATTTTTAATGTCTAAGTTTAATATTAAACAAAGCTATTCAAGAACATCATATTATCGGGTCCCGAATCTGGCAAATATATTTACCAGTTACACAAAAACTAGATCCGGAAAAAGTAACTCAATGATAATATTAATATTACTAGAAAGAAATAATGCGTAATGTATTACCAAAATAAGAATATTGGAAAACAATGGGTCAATGGGACTTAGTAACTTTTATTGAGTATAATTTGGTTCAAACTTTACATTATATTATATACTATTGTAACATATACAAGTAATAAAATTAGTAGGAGTAATAATTTGCAAGGAGTAGTGACATACGGAGTAGCTTATAATTATTCAATGTAGGGCCTGTTTGGTAGTGGCTGCAACAACTGAAATTTCTGATTTGGCTTAAATGACTGAAAGTTTTGAAGTGAAAGTGTTTGGTATTATTTTGGCTGAAGTGGTTGATTGTATGTGTAATTACCATAAAGGGTATTAATATTATTGCACCATTAAATAATGTGTCTAAGTGTTTCAATTACCAATTAAATAAAAAAATGTTGAAGGGGGTGGATACTATAATACGAAGTACTGTATATAATATTCGTATTTGTTTAAAGGCAGTGGCTTGAATCTAATATGCATGCAGTACGAAGTGCACCCAGAAAATGATTTAGCTGTGGTTACAACCTTCCAGGGGTGAGTGTTTGAGTTAAAAACATGGATAAAAATGTCTTTTAATAGCTTAATAGTAGAAAAATAAATTTCAGCTGAAAAAGTAGCAATATACTTACTTTTTGAGATGATCAGAAAAACAGCCAAATCAGCCCATTGCATTAGTGTTTGGTTATTTTTATAGATTTTAAGGCTTATAAGCCAATTTCTAGTCCTCCAAACGGGCACGTAATGTAATAGAACTACGTAATACGGAGTGTTAGTGCTTCGGTATATG